CGCTCTTCTACCCCTATTCCACCAAGTTTCTCCCACGATATTCAGCTCGTTACGACTATAATTCGTAACCAGGCTATAACTAAACCCTGCAACATACCCATAAGCTATACCCCTGCCACAGTAATCTCTTTCCAATCCTATGGAACATGGCTAAAACGGTGGCCGGCGATCGTGAGAATATTCCAAGGCTAGCGATCCAAAATCGTCAGTGTCACGATCGAGTCAGTTAATTACCGCGAACCGCGTAGCGTAATCCAATCAGCGTGCCCTGGAACGCTCCAGATAGCAGGACAACATCGTCGCCAGTGTCCTTACGTTCATTATACCCCGCGAGACTTGCATTCGCAACGTTACATTCATTTTAACCAGCCAACCGATGTCGACACACACGCGTACAAACGGCAGCCGGCTAAACGTGACTCCGGTGTAAACGAGAAAGTGAACACCCGCCGCTCTGTATTTGCTTAGACTCACCTACGTACACGCCAGGTTACGGCAATACGCGATACTCGGCCACTGTGTGCATACCCGTCGCGCACGGGGGAGCAACGTAGAGGAAGAACTGGTTTTCGCGATGGAATATTCAGCGTCGTAAACCGCCTGGAAAATCCAAGGAAATCGCGACACGCCGGCGTGAATGTCGAAACTCCGCGATTAATGTGCCCTGCCAGCTTTCGCGTTTGCGAGTAATGGCTAATCGGTCTTATGAATGGGCAAAAACAACGGGTGAAATGGTACGCGGGGTCAGTTCTGACTGACGAGTTTGGTTATCGCGGTTGTTCTCATGGAGTGTAGCAAGAGGCAAAGGTTCTATGTTTGGACGTAATTTTGAAAGATCCCACGTGGTTTTGGTGTTTGGGAAAATTTACCGTTCATGGAGGAGTTTTATTTGAGAGGATGCGAGTATTTCGTGGGAGTATGGTGGTTTCTACGTGTCGATATCGACGAGGTTATATGGCAGAGTAAATCCAATGTATTCTATTTGAGATTGATACTTGAAATTATGCTAGGCATGCTGTACCTTGCAACACCGTTACGCCACGATAACTCAGCCTATAAAACTATTCTTCCTCTTGCACGTAAGAACGGACTTAGCCTCGGACAAAGGAAATGGTATCAGAAACTCCGGAGACGTTAACCCTTTGCAGATTACGGCAGTATATACGCGTTTAGCGAAAACAACTGATAGAGCCGAAAGACCCATATTTGTGTCTCACGTAAACGCATGGCTATGGCCACATATGTCTAGAATTTGATATTTTTGAGGGCTATTAATGACAATAGCGACTAAACAGAAATATGCACTGGCAATTTGAAATGCCTATCGTGGCAGCAACTCGACGACACCATGGTCCGGATAACTACTTAACTTGCTTTAACTCACTGTTCCGTCTGCGAAGGGTTAACCCCTTCCAAATCCTTCAATCTTTTTAATGAAAAAGTTCAACATGAAGTCTAAATTTTTTAACCTACCATATCGATTCGAGAAACCCTGTTCTAGAGCTAGAAAAGGAATAATCGCGATGTTATATTACGTTTATGCAAAATTATGCTTCCTAATTTAGATCCACAGTGTTGAAAATAAGACACGTCTTAACATAACTACAAAAATCAATCTCTTAGGAGAAATAGACATGTCTTTGAACTATATTTCGAAGAGGTCTGCAGATAAGAATTAGGGGACCAGGATGAGCTGCAACTGCATATCCTTTGTCATCACTATAGTTTACAATTAGAATACAGAAGATATACCTTCCTGAGAATAGAATAAAGATAATTATAAAGAACGATAGTTATTTCTTTTTACCCATGATCCCAACAGCTACTCTAGTTCTAATTCTAACATCTTGAACCTAACCGAAGCTGTACCTTCATACCTTCATACCTTCACTCCAATCCCTAATTACACACCCCATTTCTCACGAGACAAATTCACCCAATCTTCCCACATTCTAGTCAACAATTTTCCCAGGAAATTCCGACTCGACGGACTCCGTATACTCTGTAGAAATAAACCACAGCCAAACTGGGTTAAGATCACGCATCTGTATCGAAGTGTCCGTACCGAAATCGAGATCAAGACTCGTTCCATCGATCTTGGAAGCGTGCAATTTCGCGAAGCCAGACTTGTCTTGAGACGCGTAACAGGCCAAAGGAAACTGGGTAATCGTCACTTACGAAACATTCCGCAGCGTCGTCCATGAATCCGAGCTGGAACCTTTGCTGATCGAGAAAGCTCTCGGCCAGAGCGCGGCGCAGCGTGTCGGGCGGCAGCGCGCTCTCTTGCGAAAACTGCAGCTGCGAGAACAGGTCCTGCAACAGACAAGGTGACGAACATTTTAATGCCTCGCATCTGAAAACACGGGGGTGGATCGAGGAGAGGTGGCGAATGGCGGCTGCTTTTGTGGCCGAGAAACACGCTCGAGGAATTGTTTAACGCGTTCAGTGATTAATTGCGTCTCTCCAGTGTCTGTCTGCATTATATTGCCCAGACCTTTCGCTATGATATTACGGGGCACGAGTTAACGAGACGTATGGCCGAACGCGTGCAACTTGCTATTGTGTGTTTGAAAAGAATTGTTTTACGGCTAATTGCGCGCACGGGGTAGCTTTTTGTGGTCGGCTGTCGAAGTGGCTCAAGGTAAGAGGCACTTTATTGCTGTTCAGCATTGGCAAGGTGTGCGAGAGGAGAGCTTGGGAGAGGAGGGGTTGGATCGGTTTGAAGAGGCTGAGGCAATTTTGACGCGCATGTCAACGTTGAATGTAAAAGATGATGATTAGGTACGGTTGATGAAATTATTATACCGTAATTAGGTGATACGAAGATGTATATATGTATTTGGTGCGTGATGGAGTCAATAGAAGTCGATGGTTAACATTGGAACTATCAAACCAGTGAAAATGACTGGTCCCAGAATTTTTCTTTTTGCAATCACCGAACATATACACCTGCTTTAACCCCTTGGCTACTGTGGGCGCTTAGAAATTTTGCGTTTGTGACACGGAGGGTGTCCATAGGTGCTTAGAAATTTTACGTTTTTGACACGGAGGACGCTCATAGGCGCTTAGAAATTTTGCGTTTGTGATACGGAGAGCGCTTATAGGCCGCTTAGAAATTTTGCGTTTGTGACACAGAGGCCGACTATAGGCGCTCGGCGTAGTTTGGCTTTCTGACACGGAGGGCGCTTGTTTCCACAAAAATGGCGTTCATCGTAACTTAATTCCTGCCGTATGGTATGGCCACTGCGTGTCAAAGTCTGCCGCAGTCAAGGGGTTAAGAATAAAATTGGTATCGACTCATATTAAGAAAGAACTGTAATCGATATATTCACTCGTATTCATCGTACCGCTGAAATTACTATAATCTGTGCAACTTATAGTTAGGTGCCCATTAAAGATCGGTAATTCTAGCGTTAAAATGCAGATTACATACGATTGGTATTGCAATGGATATTCCGCACTTTTCCGTATTTTTATTCATAATACAAAATTGGATATTTATCGTAACATAAATTGGAAATGATTAATCGATCGGATATATTCGCAATTTAACTCATATTTTTTGAATAATTTAATATCGCAGGGACGAATGAATTATACGCTTATTGTTACACCAGAATTTTCGTATTTCATTACTGCGCGTTGTTGATTAACTGCAATGCGAATGTTAAAGGTAATTAAATTCGGTGTGCTTGGACATGGGGAATGGAAGTTGGCGATAGACCTGCAGGGATGAGTGAAAAGCGTAAACAGAATAATTAGCGAGAGGAGCCGGTGCACCTGAGTAAATCCACGCAGCGATAATTTGTAATAATATCGTAGTCCCATCGCAACGAAGTGTCTTTTAACGCGAAACTCTTTATTTTATCGTCCTCGATTTCAGTCGGACGCGAATTAATTTGATCGAGCCAACAAATATTTTCCTCCGCGCGAGCATTCCGAACGTGTAAGAATATTACAACGATAAACGAGTTTGACTGGTATTAAGTGGAGTATTCAATCCTCTGGTGACACGGCGTTAAACGATAAAGCGTTCTGATGAATAAGGGCGTTTCAGGCAACAGGCAGTTGCTTCGTGAACGGAATAGGACACGAGGAGCAGCGCGGAGCCTGCACGTGTCGCGAAGACTGTGTAAATATCTCTGTTTGTAGGACACATGTATCGCGTTACCGATGCACAAGATGCACCACGAGGCATGAAGGAATATTGCGTAACATCGTATGAAACTCTTATCCCGGAGCAACGGATAACAATTACGGCGTAAATGTCAGAAAAATCCAGGCAACATTGCGCAAGCAAGCGTTATTTACGAAATTTATAATTCGATTCCGGATAGGAAATTTCGTGGAAATCATTATTCTCAGGTCGTCCGGGACATTTTGCCCGGTCGTAATATCGCGTTGCAAGTTTGAAGAAACGAAATAATCGGCAAGGATTTATGTCTGTTTGGCTACGCACACGGTAATGGCGAATTTATGGTAAATAATTGAAATTAGCGCGATGTTAATGCCGGCTCGCTTGAATTTCGTGTAATTTTTTAACGTCCATTTATTAACCGGTGCAATGTATCTCTAATAAGAATCGCGGGTAGAAAATAATATTTAATCGTTCGAATTTCAAGTAATTTTTTACGGGAAGCGGGGATAAATTGTACGCGGATAAAATAGGCCTTGTCAAAGAAATAAATTTTCCGTCTTTTGGCTGTCATATAAAAGACTGGTTCCTTCGCGTCATTTATTATTATTCATGAAATGCGAACCCCAAATTTCCATATTAAAGTAGCTCCGTTTCGGCGACAGGTACTTCTCACCTTCCTTTCCTCCCCGGAGCTCGTTTTCATACAACGTTAAGATACATTTGTAAACACCAATCAACCGTATCCAATTAGCCAACACGCTGTATCGATTAATTATTCTAACAAAATTTCCCTCGAGCGTATTTCCCTGATACCGCACGAAATTAACAGCGGAACGGAAGATTCTTTTCTTACTATTTAAATACATTTTTCAGAGGCGCATACGAAACGACAAGTGTACTATACCGTACGTACCGTATTATACTCGCAAAAATTCTAATACTCCTTGCAATGAATTATACATATGAACGCTTCGTGGAAAACCGAGTTTTGTCACACGGGAAAACATAATATTCAAATATCAGTCACGTCGGCGCGCTGCATCACCTAGCACCACACTATTCCCCAAAAAATCCCCAAGTCACTAGTTAAGTCGTACGAGTATTTTATTCAAACGAAATGGTAACTCGAACAAACACAACGATATGCATACTATTAAAACTCCCATAAAAGATGTGAATAAAATAAATAATTTAAAAAGAACACTAAATTCGCTATTAAATGTAATGCCAATAATTTGCACTGCAACGTGTACTAATGGCTAAAAATCGCACAGTAAATGGCACTAATCAAGCCATATAGTATATCTATTATATATTCAGCTCAAACATAATCATTGTATGCTGGATAATACACATATCGCTAATAGATCCATAGGGGATTTATGGAAGGGAAGCAAATGTCACTAGTTCACCGACAAGACACGACACGAGTATCATGAGCAAACACAGAGGCAACGAAAGCGCGCCACCAGGTTGCTCTGGCGCGGATCAAGCCCCGAATGGCTTGCGAATGCAAAAGGAAACTCACGACGCCCACGCACTCTCAATTTCCCGTTACGTAAACGTATGCAAATCCGTGGTATGTAAATCGGACCGGTAGCCCGAACGAAATCCTCCGTTTAAGCGATCGCTGCCAGAACCCCGTTTCTTTTCCCTACTCGAGCACTTTTTCCCTAATCAGCGCATCGCCTCGTTATGAATGAAGGAACTAGCCAGAACGATTGCGAAAGATTCCGCAGTCAGACTGCGGATCGTGCTCGATCGCGGAGAAGCCACCGGTTGCCAATTTCGCTCGATCGACCCATTTCCAAGAGATGCCTTCTTCCATGGATTGTGCAAAAGTATCGCGATTAAATGGCGATCCCGCGAGAGACTACTGCGAACGGGTTCGTTTCGCAACTAATTCTCGAACGATCGGTAGTCACACGTAGAAAGTTGGCAGCACGCACCGCTTCGGGCTGCTTGCTCAACGCGCGCAGCATTTCGAGACGCAGCGACGAGAAAAATGTTAACGAAGGAGAAAAAACACTCGGTGAACTATGCCACGTAAGTGTGCAACGGTTCTTTAAGCGCAGGAGTGAATTACTTACTCGCAGGGTCGCTGTCTTGATCGATAGATCGATTACGAGGAGCGATAGTCGATGATGCTCGCTGTCGCCAAGAATTCTCGTTATCGGGTATGCAGTCGAATATTTTTCCCCGGAAGATCGTCCCAGGAATATTAAATTGTACCTTTGCTATGCTGCGTCGGAGGTTTAATAAAAACTGGAATGTTCATGCAGGAAATTTTCATCTGATTTTTTTAATTGTCAGAACCACCCTACTTTGCGGACCACCCCTATTGTACCGTATTATATTTTCTAAATTGTTCGCAAAGATGTCGAATAAAACAGAGAAAAAAGTCTTGTGTTAATTATGAAAGGATCGTTGCAGAGAGGAAACTTCCCTCTGCAGTTTCACTCGTAAATGGACGCTGACAAAAATTTTCCGAGGTTCGTAGAATCATTTTCTAAATTGTTCGCAAAGATGTCGGATATAACAGAGAAAAAAAATCCTGTGTTAATTTACAGGGGATTATTATAGATAGGAGACTTCTCTCTATAGACTCACTCAAAAATGGACGCTGACAAAAATTGGTCGAGGTTCGTAGAATCGTTCGAATTTGCAAAATTTGTTAGAATCGGAAACCAGCTTTAATTTTATATTTAACTTCTTGCCATAAATAGTTCTCCAAGCAGTTCAACTCGGAGATGTGGAAATAAAAGCCCAAGCACCGTGTTATACCATTATTTTCACGAATTTAAAATTCGACAATTATTTAATTACGATTCCATTCCGCCATTTTCTTTGCAGCAACTTAAAATTCGACTCTGCGAATAAATTTAAAGCTAATTATTTAATTACTTGTGCCCAATCACAAATAAATCGACTAATTGCTAAAATTACTCTGCTATTTCCCCCCTATCTACAAACTCGATTAAATCGATTAAATTAGGAGGAAGTGAAAAAGGTTCGAGTCGAAAACCGGAACCCAAGATCCACGACAAAAGCTGCCGGATGAGAGAAAGCAGTCGCGGACTGTCGTTGCCGTTCGTGAAGGAAAAATCAAGGCACGCGCTATGGAACCGAAAGAACCGCAAATGGCTGGGTGAAATTTTTCATCGAAAGTCGTTCG